TTAAAATAAATATATAATATAAATTTGTTACACTGTTGTACAACTTGTAAATAGAGAAAGTCTTAAGGAGAACAATGAAACATAGCATAGCCGAACCTGAGTCAACTTGACTGTGTAGAAACTGGTTTCAGTCTCAACCCACATTATTTTTTATTGTAACTGGACAAGAGATGTGTCCAAGTTGGAATGTGGCATGTGTATTCCCATTGCCCAGCATGGAAAAAAGAGAACAGCATGTACACAGGAAGTTGGTCAAATGAGTACTCATGGAAACCCATGGATTGGGAAGTCCTCAGGTCTTCAGGGTGCACATTTATGGGCAAGGTTGGACATGAGTACACATTAAATGTGTAGACATGTTACTTGTCCAATATTGTATATCAAAGTTCATGGTTATAACCATGCATTATGATCTCCATTAACCTATGCTCTTGGCTGAATTTTTGACAAATTAGAATTCAGGCAACCTTTCATTTGATTCTTCAGCATTATGTCTGCAGAATTACAACACTAAAAACTGGGTTTGATACTTGTGTCGGGCACTGCACAGATAGCCCATTGTGTAGATTTGTGATTAACTACAAACAAACAAATCTTTTGATTAAGGACTTTTAGTTTTTAACTAACAGGTTTTAGCCATTTTCAGTCTCTCTCTTTCATAGACTAGCCACTGGTTTTCCTGTCTAGTTCTAGTATGCTGAGAAGCCTATCCTATTTAATGCCAAGATGGACCCTTCAAGCTCATCATCTTACAAGGCCACCAAATTCCTACAGGATGTGCAGGACTTCTTTGTTAGTGAGGAAGCTAACAAAGCTGCCAAAGCTGGGATGCCCAGACCTGGTCTAACTTACACTATGTCCGAGCCTATGGATGAGGATGAATTGTTTACCAAGGCATCTTATATGAGTGAGGTCACTGCATCTCTGTTAAGGTTAGCTTTGTAGTCTCCAAAGGTTGTACTGCCACCTTTGATGGTGGAAGATCTTGCCAATGCAGGAGGGAGAACTGTTCCTCCATCAGAAGAACCTACAACAATGACATCCACCATGACACCCAATGAGCCAAGAGGTGATATCTGAGGAACATCAGGGCTTGGTGACATGTCCCATTAGAGGATGTACTGTCACTGAGATTACATCAGGTGTGTTCACACTTCCTATGGGACCACTAATCCCAAAGTTGAAGAAGAGTTTTCCAGTATCAGGCTCATCCCAAGGTATGCCCATGTTCTAGGAGGGCTGAGGCAAGGTGGGCTCCACAGCACCTCTGGACCATGTGAAGACAAAGACTACGAGCTAACTAGCCTGTGGACTGCCTTCACTACTGAGGAACAGCACCATCAATTAGGTATCCTCCTCATCATGAGAAGGACAACCTTGCTAAACCGATGCTGCTATGACTACAGATGCACCACTAGTTAAGAAATCCAGAAAAGGTTAGGAATGGAAAATTTTACTAGGCCATCCAAGAAGATAATAATCTGACTTACAATACAGCAAAAACTAGTGTTCAAGTGATAATGCGAGGAGGTGGCTGCAGAATAGATGAAGGTTTGGATCCTCTACAACTGAAAGAAAGATTGGCTGTGGCAAAGAACCACTCCACCATTGATATACCAGAAGTTTCAGTACCTATGAGTCAGGTTAGCCAAAACTGAGAAGGCTCTGGAAAAGAAACAAAACAATCTCCAAACATCTGTGGCCGTCTGCAAGACAATTGTACCTCTGGAAACTGCTGGAAAAAGGATTAAGGTGAGTTGAATGAAGCCTTTACCACTTCTTGGGATGAGCGTGTATTTTGTATCATATTAATTTATTATAGTTAAGTTTTTGTATATTTTGATTTAGACAACCCTTTGTCTTCATCTCTCCTAAGTGTATGTTTCTTTATTTTTTTATAATGACAGGATCCTCACTCTTTCATGCAAGCAAGCATGTGTAGAAGAGAAGAAAGTATTATAATTTTTTCTTGTGTTCAAATACATTTAACATGTATTTAATTTTTTCAATTTTTATGATGTGTATTTATACAAACTGTGTGTCTAATATGCCACTACCCACTCTCACACAGCAATGCATGCAAGCAAGGAGCAGCTGGAGTTTTTTAATTTGTATTACATTTTCCCTTGTTTTATTCTTTATGTTATTTTATCAGTAAGAAATGTTTCATAGTTAGAAGGGTAATATTTGTGTTTTTACTATTATTAATGTATTGACAAGGGTTTGTTTGCTGCCTTAACATAGATGTAATTATTAATATTGTATTTTTTAATATGTACTGAATTTTAAAGTTCATCTGATTAAACAATGTTCATTTGACTGTTGTGTAATGTTTTGTTAACAGTGAAAAAGTATTTCCTTTTATTTCATGTATTTGTTCTATTAGACTCCACCATTTATGTGGGAAGCAGCATTTGGAAGGTTTTATTCAGTTTTTCTTTCATTTTTAATGCAATGATTTTGTTGTTAGACTCTCCACTTTTTAAGGGAGCA